TAAAGTTTAGAATAAATTATTTATAATTGAATCTATATTAAATTATTTTGCAATATGCTTTTCAATGCACATTACTTTGTACGGTTGAAAGAATGAAAACATTCACGCATGTTTTAAAAGACTATTGATTATTTCTTGAAAACCCCTCTTCACAACATAACATAATAGCAATTGTTTTCTCAAATACATATACTACACAATTGTTACATTATTATGCATTTTAAATTAAATACAAAATTTATCACACAACCACAAATTTACATAATTAATCAAACAAATGCACTTGATATCCATGATTTAGAATCAAACAAAACAATTATTCAAGATAAACAATAGAATATGAAACAAAAATTAACCAAACAAGTAGTTATAAATAAAAATAAAAATTAAAAATTAACTTGAAAAATATGCATAGATTTTGTTAATGACAAATCCTTTATATAATAAAGCTATATGGTTTGGGAAATAATTAATGTTACAATTAATGCCACAACATCCTTTATTATAAAAAAAAACATTTAAAAAATAAAATAGCTATATATTATATAATCATATAAAAAATATACTTTTGAAAAATAAAATAGCTATATATTATATAATCATATAAAAAATGTGTTCAATTAGAGTTTAAATTTACACATACAAAATTTAAAATTTGCTTCCCAAATGTAATTATCTTAGTTATTATTTGTATTGTGAAAATTATAATATATATGAAATACAATTAATAATAAATCAATGTAATTATGTAAATTATCTGTATAAGTTTATTTGAATATGCACATAATTATAGATTATATTAACCATACAAAATTATAATTATAATTTTAATTATAATTGTAATTTTGTATTCTATAAAAATAATAAATACTTGACCAATGGAAGCTCAAAAATATTATTATATTAAATAATTTAAAATATTTTAGTTTTTCTATTTTTTATTTATATTTATAATAACATAATTGTTTCCGTGCATCGCGCGGGTGAATTACTAGTTATCTTATTATAACGTATATGCCGCATATATGCATGGTTCTAGGCAGAGAAACTAGTAAGTAGGTTAAATAAAATTTAATTTGAATGTGAGTCAACAATATATGGAATACATAATTTGAAATATGAGAGAACTGAAAAAGTTGAGAAGATAAAAAAATTTATAACTTTACCTGTAAGATTAATTAAGTGGGGGGGGGGGGGGGGGGGGGCAAATATTTTGAAAAAACAACAAAATTTTAAAATTCTATATAATATTTTTTAAAAAAATTTAATACATATATAATATTAAAAAATTTTGGGGTGGGGGAGGGGGGCCAAGGCCCCCCTAAACATACACTTACCTCCGTCCCTGTGTGGGAAGAGACGGGGGAGAGCATCTTCGGTCTTGTGAAGGAGGTGATCGCGACGGGAAGCCTTCCAGAGGGAACCTGAGCGTGGTTGAGTGGAAGGGATTCATACATTGATGGACACCCAACATGTGTACCCAGTCGGTAGTCGGTACCACTTAGTAGTTAGTAGGCAGGCCTCGGACTCAACAGTCCGCACTTGAGAAGTGACTAGTTTTGGCTCCCTAATTATCCTTTTATAACCTCCCATTAATTACTCATAAATATTTCATTAATTATCCATAAATCTTATTTATTACCCATAAATCCCATTAATTGTTTACCATAAAATTACTATGTAGCCTACTCACCATGTACACTACCTATTTTCTACTATAAAAGAGAGTAGTCAAGAACAAGAAAGGGGGGCCTCCATCTCTCTGTAGAAAACGGCAAAACAACATGTACAAAAACTATCAAAAAAATAGTGAATTTTCAGCTTGACACCGCCTAAAAAAGCTTGTAGTTTTCACCATTTGATTTTCACTTTAAAATTAGTTATGTTGAGCTATCTAGTGAGGCAAATTATATTATGCACCGCGGTGCATAATCGATTATGCACCGCGCGTCTTTTTTTTTTTAAATGAAAATTAACCTGTGTTTATTTCCGCTGTTTCGCACCCTTTTGCAAAAAGTAACTCGGTTATTCAGTGTCATTTTGTATACACTGCAGTTTCAGTTGAACACAACTACAATTTCATTTCGATATAACTATAGTTTCATTCGATATTTATAGACTCAAATATGTGAAAATGTTATTTAATTTTATTTTATATACACTATAGTTTCATTAAAACACAACTACATGATCATTTTGATATAATTACAGCTTCATTGTACAATATACACTCAAATATGTGAAATGTTATTCAGTTTCAGTTTATATACACTGCAGTTTCATTTCACTATAACTACAGTATTATTTTGATATAACTGCAGTGTCGGTTTGGATATACTATAGTGTCAGTTGGTTTTTAATACACCAAACAAACGGACTCTGTTAACTCTAACGGCGGGCCGTTTCTTTACTCGTTTTTGACCGCGGTACATGTAATATAACGACTGATCTAGTGACTACCCCCATATTACGAAATCAACATTGGCGCGACCGACACAAAAGACCGTGTACCCCTACCATCACAGCCAGAAAATCAAGCACTGGGCTGCTGAAAAAGCAGGGCGCGCGACTTCCACCAGCCGAACAGGCCGAGCAGTTGCCCAAAGAAATATACTCGACCGGAGTCGATCTTGACCGCCCTGGAAGACGGGTGTGAGTCGCCCTAAAAGGCGGGTAAGGACTGTCTTCAATTTCATTGACGATTGATACTACGGGACGTTGCTCAGTTAAGGTTGGAGACTCCCACAAAGTTTGTACAAAATTCTTACCAATTATCCCTACACAATTCCATATTTAAGGGTGTGCTTGCATGGAAAATTTTGGTCATATGCATACCGTACATGGCAAGATTGGAGAGAATGTGCAGCGGATCGGAAGAAAGTATTTGGTTACAAAATGTGTGGTCGCCTGGTTGATCAATGAGGAGTTTTCAATATGCCGCCAACTATTGCAAGCAGTACGACGCTAGGGGAATGCATATTCTCTGGCAACTTTCATCAGGCAGACATGAAAAGTTGAGGTATTGGAATTTCCAAATTGTCAGCGGAACAAAACGGTGGAATTAGTTTTGCTAGTGCATATTTACTGTATATCATTCTTTGTATAGTGAAAAGAGAGAAAAAAAAAAAAAAAAAAAAGAGTGATCAAAGTGGTAAGGTGGTCAACTAGCCTTCGAAATGGAACAATTGAGTTTGGGTCTCAGCCAGCCCTTTTAGTGACACGAATATAAGTTTGGGTCTCGGCCAGCCCTTTAAATGGTACGATTGAGTTTGGGTGTCGGCCAACCCCTTAATAGTGCGGCAAATCTGAGTAGTCAAGCACCCCTTAGACACGAGGCAGTTGGCTGATTTTTACTAGCCTTCTTTGAATCTATGCAGGTTTGAGAACATGAAGTGAGATGTTGAGGAACTGACTAATAGAAGTTTGAGGGTCAACGAACTTAGGATATAATATTTTACTAATTGGTCCAGACCATACCCTTTAGTGGGGCGCATCTCACAAATACGTTTTTTCACTCAATTGGTGTTTTAAAATTTTAATTTACAGGTAGTCAGTCTCAACAGTCAGCCATAGAAATATGGCGGAAAAGGAGTCAGTTCTCAGTCACCTCGCAGCTCCTTGTAAAAGGATTTGGAAAAATATAAGGTGTTTGGGGTTGACTAGACGCTTGTAAAAGGAGATGGTGCTCAATCAATCGCACCTCCTTGTAAAAGGGATTGGTAAAATATAGGGTGCTTGAGGTTAGCTAAAGGCATGTAAAAAGAGTCAATGTTCAGCCAATTGCGCCTCCTTGTAAAGGAGTCCGAAAATTTTTATTCATAATTCAATTGTGAGGGTGTTGAATTGAATTGAGGCGTGACACAAGAAAGTAAGGAACTGATGATGGACACCCAACATATGTACCTGACAATCAGGCTTCGGACTCTGTCAACACTCGGGATGTTACCTGCCTTGGCAAAGAGTGTAAACGAACCGAGCCGAGCTCGACAAATAATCGATAGGCTCGAGCTTGAAAATTGAAGCTTGAGCTCGGCTCGGTTATGGAACGAGGCGGCTCAAGCTCGAAGTTGACCGAGCTCAAGCCAAGTAGCTCGTGAGCCGTTTAGTTATAATTATATAAATATATGAACAAATAATATATATATATATATATATATATATATATATATATATATATATATATATATATACACACATATATATAATAGCTCCCTAGTGGCTCAAAGAGCTACGAGCCTAAAACATTTGAACTTGAGCTCAGCTCGATTACAAAATGAACAGGCTCGATCTCGATCCAAGCTTTGACCGAACCGCAAGCTCATTTACACCCTAACACCCCTAGTCTTGGCTCCCTAATTATTCTTCCATAACCTCCCATTAATTACCAATAAATATTTCACTAATTGTCCATAAACCTTATTTATTACCCATAAATCCCATTAATTATCTACCATAAAAATACTATAAGAAGCCTACTCACCATGTACACTACCTGTGTTCTACTATAAAAGAGAGTAGTCAACAAGAAGAAAGAGGGGCTCCATCTCTCTGTAGAAAACTGCAAAACAACATGTACAAAGACTATCAACAAAATAGTTGATTTTCAATTTGACATCGTCTAAAAATGCCCGTGATTTTCACTATTCGATTTTCACGTTAAAATTATTGTGTGTTTTTCCTTCTTTCTTCTCAAATTACTTATATTTTGTTGATTAATCGATTATGTTGACCTGCCGAGTAACTACTCCCAGGTCACAAAATCAGCATCCATCCTTAACTAAAGATCAAGAGTTTAATTTTAACTTTGGGTATGAAATAACTTTAAATTTTAAATAGAGATGCTTTCAATTTAACAAAGAAATTAGTCACTGTCTTTGACGGTAGAAACTCCGGTCTATACATACAGAACAAAAGGAAGCCAGGGGATGTGTATAAAAGGGAGAAATCCATTTACAATAGAAAAGGGGATATTCCACCCCATTTACAAAAGGGCCTCAAAAGAGCTCAAAGAGATTTTCCTTAGCTTCTATTTTCACTTGTTTCCTCGAGACAAAAATCTTCCCCGGCCCGGCCAAGAAAAGAAAAGCGAGAATGTGACTAAACAACGTTAATTTAATAAACACTAAGACAAAAAGACAAGCTTTCTTCTAGCTTTTTTGCTGTTTTGGTTAAACCTCTAATGGAGAAAAGCCGCTAGAAAGTGACAACCTCTATTAAACTTCTCTGGGATCAACAAAAATGGAGAGATCAGGTTGTGACTTAGTCCAGTCACCTACAGACCCGTCACTGTAGCCTTCCCCCAGGCGTTTAATGCACCACAAGTCGTCGGCGCACGATAGTGTTTTCCAGTGGGGGATTCCTAACCTGAGCGGGTCGGCGGCGGACACCTCCGTGGCCACCACGCCGCAGCCGCGCTGCTTCGCCATGTTATGGGCGAAGCCGCAAAGGGCGGTGATGAACTCCACGGCCAATGGGCCTTCCCCGCCGAGCCCGTACAGAAAATGCAGCCCAAACGGCCGGAAAACCTCCGGCACCGACGGCAAACGCAGCCACGGGAAAGCCCGGTCGAGTAGCCGCGTCGTCTTCGCGAACCCCCGCAGCTTCCTCGACGCGCCGCGCACCTCCAGCTTGAACACCGCCATCGAGTTCCACACACTCAGCACCGCCCACGACTCCGGCGGCGCCGCCAGAAACTCCTCCGAACCCCGCCACGCCTCCCGCCCCCCCTTCGGCACCGCCAGAAACGTCCCTAAATTTAAACTATTCCGCAAAACAGAATCGATATCCCGCGGGAAAAACTCCGTCGCCGAGAACCTCCTCCGGTACAACACCTCCGCGTCGCCGGGACTCAGCTTTATAATGGTGACTCGGCCCGAAACGCGAACTCGGTGAGCGAACACGGGCTGAACCAGGATCGACGGTTCCCGGAACTTTGAATACCCGCATTTATGAGTGAAGAGATTAATAGAAGCTTGGTTATCGTTCTCGGTAGCCATGTATGAATACTCGGCTCCATTTTCTCTAAACCATTCCTCCATTTTCGTCACCAGATTCAACCCAATTCCCATTCTCCTGTATTTAACAAGAAGAATTCAAGAATGATTTTTTTTGTTATTTATATTACGTGACATATACACATATAATAATATATATATATACACAGTACCGGTGAAAAGGAGAGACTCGAAGGCCCAGGATATAAGCAACTTTGGCGTAAACCGGAAGAGGATGACTGGTTTTTCCATTTCTGGGCAGTTTCTTCCCGCAAGTCACAGTCTTTATGCAGCTTCTGATCATCCCCACAATCTCCCGCCGCCATTCGCCGCCGTCTTTTTGCACGACCACCTCGGCAACCTGATCATTGCCGAAAACAAACGATAAGATCGAATTGAAACAGAGTAGGGTCTGCAGCTTAGCTAGCTTTGCTTACAACTTACAAGCATTTTATAAACGGGGGAGTTTCGGACTCTGCAAATTGGGTCACCCAAAAGGTCAGTGAAGATGGAGAGTTTGCCGCCGCCGGTGGGGCCGACTTCGCATATTCTCTCCACCTCCTCCACCGCTCTACAGTCGTTCTTGGGGTCGTAATCTCGCACCACCGCCGCCGCCGCCATCTCCGGCCTTCCCAAATTTTAATCTGCAAAGTATATATTATACTCTAGACTAGAAAAAATGGTGGCCGAGAGCAGAGCAGGGTGGGAGTGATTTAGAAGCGAAGGGTTTATATAGCGCAGGGGAAGATGAAGAAGAAAGATTGCAGCTTTTTCAAGAACTGAAAAGCCTGGAAATCCTATCCTATCGAGAACTGAGAAATGAGATTTTCTCTCTTCTCATATAAGCGCCGGAGAGAAGAAACACACAACTCGACGGCCATTAAAACGTATGATGATGCTCTAAGGCTGGCTATTTATAATCCCCTCCTAATCTAACTACCACACCTTAGCATCTATTAGAAAATTAACACTTAAAAAAGTCCTTTAGCTGTGACCATGGTGTAAAATTAGTCATTTAATTATTAAAAATTTAAATTTAACTTCTTGTTATTATCAAAGCGATGAATTTAGTTTTAAATTCAACACAAAAACAAATATGTTTTTAAGTAACTAGAGAAACCTGCACTCACTACTGAAAGGGTGCACGTTATAAATAACACTTTTTGATACATAAAAAAGTTGCATGCGCTACTCGAAGGTGTTCTATAAAGATAAATTAGTTTAAATTGCCCAAAACTGACTAGGTTTAATCCAAGAAGGTCAATAGACATAGTTGAACTTGAGGCCTTGTGATTAAACTAATTACCAACCTAACTGTTCATCCAACTTAGTCAAGATTGTACCTGAATAACCAAGTGTAATAACACAAGCAATGATTTTAATAACAATTGACCAATAAATCTACACAACTGTATTAACATATGAACAAAAAATGCCACCTTCATTGAGCCAAACAACACTCTTTTCCCACGAAAATTTTTGTAATAAACTCTAAAGGAAAAAAAAGTGCACTTTACTTTTTTTTTGGAAGTCCCTTCCAAGAGGCATTTGTAACTGTATGCCCGTTCATATTTCGTATAGGACAGGGAGAGGAATAGTGGCTGGGGCATTTAATGACGGAAACAATTTGTAATTAGATTAACGTTAATAATGGGCGCGAAAAGGAAGGTAATTAAGGAGAAATGGCGGCTATGGCTGCGCGGGGGCGGTGCCTGTGGGTATTTTTAATGCTTTATTTAAAATTTTCTGTGTCGACACTTTTAAAAGAAAAATACTACATGTATTTTTATTTTTTATTTTTACACATAAAATTTTGATATAAATACTTGTATTAGGATTCACGAGAAAAAAGTAATGTATTAATGATTGAATACCCATCCATCCATCCATCTATCTATCATCTATCATTCTGATTGCAGATAGACGCCATGATGGGTGTTTCTTTCCATATTTACATGCCGCTGCTTGTGCATGGAATCAGCTTTTAGCACATCATGCCCATCATCATTCCAATGTTCCCTCCATCTAAAATCATCACATTCACATTATTATCCCACCACATCTTATTTCCATAGATTTTCCTTATATAATTGTCCCCATACAAAACCATTTGCCCACAAAAAGGTGAATTCACTTCAATTATATTCCCTCCAAGACTCCCGCACTTTAACTTGACAGAATTATTGAGAGACAAATTACGGTAAGTCATCGGCTTATTAAGTGGGCGAAAATTGTAAAGTGCCTACAATGAGTTACGTATTCTCATAAAAGGGTGAAACTCCTATATAGCATGTTAGGATCAAACGTTTATCACTTACATTAAAAGCTATAATGATCGTAGCGAATGCACAACTTATAGATCGTCATCACATTTTACTGGCCTCCGCCCAACAGTCTCCAGCCATTAAGTGCTTGACCTGACTCTGATACCACTTGTTAGGATCAAACGCTTATCATTTACGCCAAAAGTTATAGATCGTAGCGAAGATGCAACTTTATTTCCTTATAGACCGCCATCATATTTTCGAGACGTTGGGTGCTGGGCTTAGCCTTTACTCTTTAACGGCCTCCGTCCAATAATCCCCCAGCTACCGAGTGCAAGACTTGGCCTTTATCGGCCTCCACCTAACATAGCAGCGGGTAGGACTTGATCATGTGTCATTGTTCATAATCTGCCACCAAAAAATCAACTGAATTACCTATGTGAGCTCTCATTAAAATATTCTTATTTCTTTGACTCCTCGTGTTCACATTCTAACTTTTTTTTTTTTTGTTTCTTTTGTTTTATTTTTATTTTTTAAAAAAAAATGGTTGAGTGAGTAAAACATGATTCACATACATAACGATCGCAATGTTTAACAAATTATTGCCAACACCCTTTCAATCCGTCATATTAGTCTGTTACACAAGCTAAGGCATCTAATGTGGTTTACCGCTCCAATGTGGTGTTCATCATGAACTAGTTAACCCTAGTAAGTAATCAAAAGAATTAGTTCATAATTAAATATATAACAAAAAAATCAATCAAATAATGTTGCAACATTAAATATATAACAAAAAAATCAATCAAATAATGTTGCAACATTAGGAGGTGAATATGATAAAATCGTATTAAGAAGAAAATGTACCATTGTTCATTGCCTTATTACATAATATTTTACTAATCAAATAAGTTGCTACATCAAATGTCACCATAATCACCTCCACCAAAACTTGAACCTACCACCTCTCACATAAGAGAGCAACATAGTACCATTAGACCACAAGGTACTTAATAGATACTTTCATTCTTATATCATAACAATTAACAAAACTCAAAGCTATTTTGACCATAAGTCCGTTGATTTTGTAATTAAACAATAACAAGATTTAACCAGCTTGGTTGACGTGAGTAGTGGTGCATTCTCGTCCCTTAAGAGAGGCCGGGAGTTCGAATCCCCTCTTGTATAGAATATAATCAATCTAATCAGCACTTTACTTTCTTAATTGGGCCAGATCGGTGCGAATGGAGATTAGTCTGAGTATGGTACGGGTGTAAAGGGCCTCACTTTACTTTCTTAATTGGGCCAGATCAGTGCGAATGGAGATTAGTCTAAGTATGGTACGAGTGTAAAGGGGCCTCACTTTGCTTTCTTAATTGGGTCAGATCGGTGCGAATGGAGATTAGTCTGAGTATGGTACGGATGTAAAGGGGCATGTTCAGGATACTTAATGGCTTGACTAATTAAACAGAAAAAAAAAAAAAAAAAAAAAAAACTCATGATTTTACTTTTTCTTCCCTTTGTTGAAAAAGGGTATTTCTTAATCTAAATTTATGTGTACGTTATCTTTTTAGTTATGTTTTATTCCGCGATACCTAACAGGGCGTTTGGATGGAGGGAATTTAAATTTCATTCCCACCTAATTCCAAAGGCCACTAAATTCCTTAGTTTGGTTGGAAGGAATTGCAATTCCCTCATTTTCATGAAATTAATTAAAATCTCATGTCTCTCCACCCCCCCCCCCCCCCCACCCATCCATCCATATTTTAATTCCATGAATTTTAGAAAGAAAAAAAAAAAAAGGTAATCATGAGACAAAATTACCATACCCCTATGTTATTTAAACTTAAAATCGATGCCCACAACAACAATAAGTATTTTGAACTTTATATATTACTTATTCCCTTTCAATTTCCATATATACCAAACAATGGAATCGAAATTCCCAGTAATTATATTCCTGTAAACCAAACACTGTAATTTAAATTCTCACTTTATTCCCGATAATTCATTTCCCATGAAATTGCAATTCCTTTCCCACGTAATTCCTTCCCTCCAACAAAACGGGCAAATTATGCTATGCGCACGTGCGCACGGCGCTAAAACGGCGTCGTTTTCCGTGAAAACGACGCTGTTTTAATTAAAAAAAAAAATTGTTCGAAACGCCGTTAACGGCATATTCGTTATGAAATTATGAATATACAGTTATGACATTATGAATGTACAGTTATAGAATTATGAATGTATAGTTATGGAATTATGAACTTACAATTATGAACATAGAGCTTCGAAAATTATGAATGTTCGGTATGGAATTATGAATATACAGTATGGAATTATGAATGTACAGTTATGGAATTATGAATGTACTGTTATGGAATTATGAATGTACAGTTATGGAATTATGAATGTACAGTTATGAAATTATGAACATAGAACTCTGACATTATGAACTTACAATTATGAACATAGAGCTTCGAAAATTATGAATTTACAGTTATTGAATTATGAATGTACAGTTACGGAATTATGAATGTACAGTTATAGAATTATGAATGTACAGTTATGGAATTATGAATGTACAGTTATGAAATTATGAACACAAAGCTGTGAATATATGCTCCTATAACGAAGCGGTCTGAAATTAAATTTTAAAAAAAAAAAAGAAGAAAAAAGAAGAAGATAACGGTGCCTGACGGCACCATTATCCGTGCGCATGAAGCACGCTGGGCACGAGCCCACAGCATAACTATCCAACAAAACGCCCTAATAATAGTTGAATTTATGTGGATTTATTGAGTAGAGAAAAGTTATAAGTTTTATTTTTTGCAACTCGCAATTAAGTAAATTAAATTTGTAAGGAAATCATTTATTGTCGAATAGTAAAAATGTAAACTATTATAAGTAAAGATTGGATAAGTAATGACATTTTTGTAAGGGAAAATGGCACCTTTTCCCTCTGTGTTATATGCTTATAGCACTTTTTTCCCCTGAATTATTCATGCATTCACATTTGTCCCCTCAATTATTATAGAAGTGGCGGTTTTTCCCCCCTGATAATATTAAATGGACATTTCTACCCTTAAAACAAATATTTTACTTATTTCTATTCTTCACCAAATTATTGCTTATACGTAGGGATGACCACGGTTCGGTTCGAACTGAACCAAACACTATAGCAATCAAATTAAAAAATTTCGGTTATGATTCATAACATAACCCAATATTTGGGTTTCCGTTTATTAAAATCGTGAACTGGAAAAAATGGATCCTGAACCGTGAACCGGAGGTTCAAATCGGAACAACTACTAGCAATAGCTTAAATTATAATTATAATATTTGCAAATAGTGTATGTTTTTTTTTTTTTTCCGCATTTATATTGACTCTCACATATAAGTATATATAATCGCGATTTGAGTTTTATTTTGAACCGTCGGTTCACGATTTTGGATCCAATTTGAACGGTTGGTTCAAACTTTCTTTTAAAATTTTATTTTTTTATTTTTAAAATATTTTAAATTTAACACTTAATGTATTTTATTTTTTCAAATTGTGGTTATAATTTGTTAGAGAAGAAAAATAAATGAAATATTTATTTTAAGGGTAAATATGTCCATTTAATAT